CAGGTTTGACTGGTTAACCCAATTGATTCAAATTGTTTTTCTTTCTCGTCATTACTTTTATTCTTTTGATTTCATCTTTTAATATTGTATGCAATGTCTTTTGTTGTGGACTGCATAGTACAATCTACGGTGAAAAAGTTAATGTTTTTTTTCTTTTTAATTAACTTTTTTTTTGTTGATATTAATTTTTTTTATTTAATTATCAGAATTTCACGACACGAATCTCAAGTTTGATGGATTAACCTAGTTAATTTAATTTTTTTTCTTCATTAGTTTTTTTCTTCATGTTGGTTTTTTTTTCTTTGTTTTGTTCTTTAATTAATCTATTTAAGTATCATACTTTTATAACATAACTTTACAGCCAAACTCATATCCAAGACTATTGAGTTTGATATTACATCCAGACACACTTAAACTTGAGTTTTTCAAGTTTAATATTATTATAAATATTACTCTTAGTTCCAGCATTGCAGTTAAACATAAAATTTTTTTTATATAATTTTATAAAAAAACTTAATATTTTTAATTTTTAATTTTTTTAATATTTTTTATATATAAAAATTAACCCGCAACATTGTACGGGTAATTTGACTAATATTTATAGATTCCCTGTGACAAAAACGTATCCCTATTTCATACGGACTTCACCCTTGAGGACAAGAACCCTGAGCTCGCCAATCCCTTCCGCCTGCGGCTTAATCTCTGAGACTGGACAGGCTAGCGGTAGCATTTCGGCCCAAGTTCGGAAGCCCTTTACTATTGGACTTCCTTTCTCGTGTTCTGCAACTTGTGGAGATTCTGGGTTCTGAATCTTTCTTTTTTGGTGTATGGACTTCGTGGTTGCAACGGCCTGCCTTCCACCTAATTTGCTACTGCTATATGTGTATATTTATATTGCTTTCACTCAAAATCCGTTATATCTGATACTAAGAAAAAACGTATCTTGAACAAATTAATTTTTTTTATGATTCTTAAAAATTAACATAATTTTTTTTTTTAAATGAGGGAATTCACTTTTACCCTACTCACAAATCATTATTTATTTGAAAAATTATTATTATTATTAATTTAATTTAATTTAATTTTATTATTTGTTAGGAATTAAGTTTTATAACTCATTTCAATTTTTTTTTTACAAAGTTAATTTATTTTTAAAACTAAGTTCACAAGTTTTACAAGATGATTTTATTGATTCAAATTTTATATTTTTATTTTTTTAATTAATTTTTTTTTTAGTTTCGTTATTTAATATTGGATTGATTGCAATTGAGTTTTATAATGTGTTTTATTTTTCTTGTCGAGTTATCTTGGTTTAACGAGTTTGAAAGTTTATCTTAGACTGATTCAAGTTTTTTTTAATTGATTTTTTTAATTTTATCTTTAAATTTTTTATTGATTAGGGATTATAATTCATATTTAATTTCTGATTTACTTTTTACAATGTTATTATGATCCCATGCCCTGGGTCATAGGATAGTTCGATTCACTCGAGATTTTTTTAATTGTATTATTTAATATCGAGTTAATTAATAATTAAAATTTATAAATTATTTAAATTTGACTTTAATAAGATTATCATAGTTTTATAACCCTGATTAACAAGTTATTTTTTTGTTATTTTTTATCGAATCTTATTTTTATTTTTATATTTTAATATTTGATTGATTAAAAATTAAGATTTTTTTTTTTACTTTACGTGAAGTTATCATAATCTTATTATCTTATAATACAAAATATAAATTTAATAAATTAATTTAAATTAATTTAAATTAATTTAATATATTATTTTTTAGAATTTATAAAAAAATATTCTTTTAAATGTTTCTGACCACCTTCTAATGGGATGGATTACATTAGATGAGTCGCCACGATTTAAGTTTTATTGACATGATTTTTACGTTCAGATTATTTTTTTGATGCGCAACATATCGCATACCATTGATCCAGTATCTTCCATTCAGCTTCTAGGTATTGTCAAAGCAATCTTAATAACATATCAATAATGTTGGTCCCAAAATTCAAACAAGAGAGCTTTTGAATTGAACGTTTATAATGACTTGAAAGCAACCGGTAAAGTCACACTATTTATTGTAAAAAAAAAACCCCTCGGTGGAGCCCATATTCGTTGAATTTGACTGAAAAAAGAAGGCAAATTTATTGATGTATGTAATTTGTATTGCACTGATTGGTCATGCGGTGGTTAAAAGCACAATGGACTTCATCAACTTTCCTGTCAAAACTATAATCATTACATCCATCCAAGAAGTGACCACAGGAGGACCCCATCCGAGGAAAAAACAATCGGATCATTAAATCTTCGAGTCACTTTATTTATTATAACGTTATACCAAGTAAGTCATTTTTATTGAAATATCATTTTTTTCACTCGATGATATTAATCCAGCCGAATTTGACAACATCAATCATACCATTAAATTTATAGCTCTCGACAGTAGCAACCGTATCATTAAATTGAGGTAATATTACTAAAAAAACTCGAGCCGAATTATAATTACTTTTTTAATCATAGATTTTCTGAATTCAAGCCAAAGACACTCTATGGGCTAAGCATCTACTGGGCCTGAACTAACTCACCACCTTATCCTTTTCCATTAGAGTCAACTTCACTAGCTCATCTTGCCAAGAACACAGCACCCTATCTACAAAGTGTACAGACTACAGAAACCTCCTAAAAGCCAGAACGATAACGACATTCCAATTTCCACCCCTATTTTATACAGAGAAAGAAAGGCCAAACATATCCTATGCTACTAAGCAATGCATCGCATTGAATACAATGAAAGTGGATTATTATCCATTGATGGCCCACCGTAGACTCTAGGGTGATCACTCTCTAATCCATAATCCATCATCGGACGGTACTCCAGCTCTTCGTCGTGATCATAAGCGAATTCCGGTATCCGAATCTCATTCCTCCTCACATGGTCCCACAAAAACTCCATCCTCGTCACGTATTTCAGCTTCGAGTACAACCTGTTAAGAGTTGAGACAAAAAAAAAATCAACCCAACAATTAACACCTACCAACCACTAATTAATTACATCCCAGATTTAATCACTGAGTGGAGGTTGGTCGAGAGGGCTCGAATGGGACCCCAAAAGGGCATGAATCTTACCCTCCACTGAAGAGAAAACGACCAAAGGTGGCAAGGAAGAGTCTGGCTTGGAGTCCCGGATGCAAAAAGTAAACAGATTCAAGATGACTCTTGACGTTCATTGGAATATCCTCATAAATAGATCGAAGGGTTGAAATCCCAGGGAAATTCTCACTCCTTTGAACATCTGTGTGTACATACACCACAGAAAATGCCTTTTCTTCTAATTTTGGATATATTTTCTCCTCCAGGTATTTCTTCAACACCTCACTGCTCACCGCTCGAGCTAAAACCACAAAAGAAAAAAGCTACTTGGTCTTGAACAATCAAAACAACAAAAACAAAGAGCACATCTTTATTAAGTAAACAAGAACTGCTTACCAGGGAAGAGTTTGCCAATGATGAGAAGAACCTTACGGCCATGTTTATCACGGCCTTGAATCCTGAAAACACCAAGTTTTTCTAAGAGATTTTCTTGTTCGGAATGCGTGAGAGTTAAAGGCGAAGCCATGAGGAAGTTTCTTTCTTGGTTCGAGAGGGAAGGCGTAGAGATAAAGAGAAAGGTAAAGGAAAGTTTATATAGGGTAAAAAATTCAAGGTGGGGACTTATCCGTAATTGTTGGCATTATGGGAAGATTCACAGAAAGGGGGAATATTCTGCAGCATCTTCCCATATTTGGATTGGGATTGAACCGAGCCTGAATTAGCTCGGTCACTTATGACTGACACGTATGGAACCCTTTCGGGCACATCTGCGTTTTGGAGGGGTCATGTGGTCGGGTTAACCAAGACATGTTTTGTGTGGTTAAGAGAGTGATAGGACCATGATTAACAGATGGGTCAAGCCTAAACTTGAAGGATCTCAACTTTATTAGTGTGACAAACCAACTATGCGTGAAGGGGGCGAGGATTTAGATGGTTTTCTTTGTTTTTTTAACAGCACATTGTATTGAGTTGAAGCTTCCAAGAGGAGGAGAGGAAGTAGCCACGAATAGGACGAGCCACTTTAGCCTTTCTATGGTATGTTGTTTTTCCTTTCCCCTCTTGTCATGGTTTGATTTATTTATTTTTTTGCATAAGATTTTGAATGTTAAAATTTAAAATCATTTCTCAGTAGAAATCTATATCATAATTTTAAAATTCATACTAACCAGATTGGTTTATACATGACTCAAGTAGCACAGGGCTTAAATTAAAAAAAATCAGTTGACTTGATGACACAATTAAAGATTAATCATCAATTTATTATTATTATTTTGTTAAGGTATAATAAAGTGGTGTAGATTTTTTAGAAAAATTTAAAGGAATAATATTTTTAAATTTAATAACTATCTCAGGAGCTTTGTGAATTATGTATATTTTTTTAATGTTTATTTTTTTTATCTCCGCGGCATGACTTGGACATGTAAACTAACTGCATCTAAATTAATTTTTCTATCATCAAGTTTAAATAGGTTGTTTATATTTAAACCAATACATCATAAATGAATTATTTTTTTATAATATCTTCAAAAATACTAACCTTGAATGGCAGTATAAAAGTATACTCATACCAATTAGATTAAGCGTCCAAGTGTCGTGCCTCTCCCAGGTTGCAGTAAACTCTCTCTCTCTCTCTCTCAGGCAGATGATATATTTGTTATATCATAAGCACAGCATGGATTTTGCAATTGGATCCTATAATATTATTAAATCTGGTTTTGAATATCAATAACCTCCTCCATTTGTACCAAAGGAGAGTACCATCCTATGCTTTCACGGCCAAGCACATCCGGACCCACGAGGGACCGGCTGCCATAACTTACATCCATCTGCATGCATTGATTCCTCCAGAAACACCGCTAGCTGCTGAATAAATCCAAATTGGCTTTGAGAATGATTGAAGCACTGTGTGGATTGGCTCAAACAATGTATCCTCCCACCAACAAAAACGACAACGAAACGGGAACTTCTATCTCCGGCTGCTTCTAACCTTACCAAAAAATCTTCGGTTGGTTCGAAGAATATCTAAGCTATAATTTGTTCAAATTTGAATTGAACATAAAAGAATCCTATTTAGCTTAATTTGATGTAACTAGTCAATTTAGTAATTTATCTTTTGATCAGGACCAATTAAACATAATAAAAATTAACTTTGTTAAACTCGATTGATTTAATAAGTCAAAACTCTATCCAACTATTTTTTAAATGATATTATTATATTTTATTTTTAAATATTAAAATAATATTATTTTAGATTATTATGGTTCAGCTTGTCTAATTCTTACTTGCGTCTAAAATTAGATTATAAGTCAAACAAAGTTAAATAACATCTAGTGATGTTTTGTTAATACTTGAACAAAATTACATGAAAAACCTAAACTGGTTGTGTACGTGACTAACCATCTTTAATTATTTTGTCAATTTATCTTTAATTTTAAATTTTATTGTCCCTCTTATTTTTATATTTATATTTTTTTCAAAATAAATTTCATAAAATAACTAATAAGATGTCAGTAACAGTATGAACACCATAAAATTTTCCGCCATTTTTTTTTTCCTGGAAGTGCCACGGTAATTTTATTTTTTTTACCTGTTCGGACATGATCATAATCCACTCAAGGTCCATTAAAATATGAGAGATAAACAGATTATATAAAATAATGTTGCTACCAATACACTTTCTTTCTCTGGTCCACTACGTAATGTGCTGGTCATAAATAATGGAGAAGTCACCTCAAGCCAGCATTGGAAGTTGCTTCAATGGTGGGATCCATGAGATTCTCGCCCTAGGTGGATAAACATGGCCGAAAACAAGAAGTTTCAAACAAATAAATATTACCTTGCTCGATCACGCAACGTAGGCAGTTGAAGTTGAAGGCATTGATGTGGTAAACGATAATGTATTAAATAGATGTTAGAATAAAAAGGGGTACGTGCAATAGAAGGATAACGCTGGATTGGATCGATGGTGGTTTTTCTCCATTAGAAAAATAAGCATGTGGAACCTACTATGACTCGGAATCTGGATTCTAAATTTCAACTCATTGTGATTAGCTGTGGAGGTCAAGCTTAGAATCAAGATCAATGGTTGAATGAGAAAACTTTCGCGGTTAGAAAAGGAGAAAAATCTCATGTGTAAATGGTTGACATCCATGGATATGGTAAGCTAGCAGGACAGCGTTCCAAGAAAACCATGAGCTAGATGAAGACAACGCCTCGGAGATGAAAAGGGACGGTGATTCTGCTCTCCTTTTGAAGGAATCCATGTGGAAGTTTCCTTTCTTGTTTATAATATAGCCTCACCGGAAAGATCATAGGATTCTTTTTTTATATATATATTACAAAAATCTGCATGGAAGGTAATGGTTTCGCCATCAAAATCAAATTTTAGACAAATTATCCGCTAATCCTAGACTTACGGTCATGCGGACATGGTAATCATCCCTCTCTTCGTCAGGGCAGTATTTTGATATTAGTTTAGTAGTTATTTTTTAAAATATTTTTTATTTAAAAATATATTAAAATAATTCTTTTTAATTGATTTTAAACATCAATACATAAAAAAATATAAAAAACATATAAATAATTAATTTAAAATAAATAATTCTTTTTAATTTTTTTTAAAAATACAACCTAGCACATAAACAAATGATATCTTAGTATTTATTTGATGTTATAATGCATGATAGTTTTAAAAATAATTTTTTTAACATTAACCCATTAAAACCATTAAAAATATTTAAAAAATCAATTCAATAATATTTCAAAATAATTATATTTAAAAAAAGCATATAAAAAAACCATCGCACTTCAAAAAAAAAAAACATTAAAAGTCGCATGAGGCCGGTCCCTTGCATGGGTATGTTCTTTTACATCAACTTTACGGAGCTAATTAAGTATTTTTTTTTTTAGATTAACGTGGGTGTCCGGGCCAGCTTGTGCGCACCACGACTAATCCCACGAGCCCTGAAGTTAACGACCATGTAAGCCTCCAGTGGCCATCATATGAGCAACCAAGGACTCGAACCTGAAACTACAGAGGGAACAAACCCCTTGATCCCAAGTCTTTACCACTTGGCCACCAATAGTTGCTAATTAAGCATCTTTGCTTTCCCGTTACGTTGATTGTTACTAATCTTGGTGCCGTAATAAATGGTCGTTTAAACAGTAAAAAGTCAACTCATTCACAGTACTGCTTCCGTGGCCCCTCTCTCTTTCACACATGTGGCGTCCGCAGATGATCTTGTAAAATGATAATTTTTTAGGATTGATGATTTGAAAATGTAAAAATTATCGAAAACAATTTAAAAAATTTAGACAAATTATTTTTTATATATTATCAAGCAAACATCATTTCATAAAAATGAGTTTTCTCCCAAGTTGTGTGGGTACGCAGAAAATAGTTTCTTATACCATAGTTGTAAAACGTTTTAGATTTATTCTATCAAAATCCAAAGTCTTGCATGATGACTTTTTAATTTTTTTTAAATTAAAAAAATATTATTTCAATTTTTTAAAAACTATTTTTTTTTCAATTTATAACCCGAATCTAAAAAAATATTATTTTAATTTTTTTTAAACTATTTTTTTTTTCAATTTATAACCCGAATGTTATCCCAAATTAACTCCCTCGATCGTATCAGGTTTTACTATATTTGTTAGTTTTATGTCACTGAGGATGCATAACAAGGAGGGTGGACTCTTGGGCACATTGAAACCCTAAAACGGATTTACCGCTAATTAAAAAATGGCAAAAAATATTTCAACGTCTAATAACTTAACGATATAAAATCTCTTGATCGAGAAGCTTAAAAAAATTACATTCTTAAAGAAGAAGTAGTAGTAATGCTGTTGGTGTTCGACCTCAATTCTCCAAGACTCGAGCCAAGCCATTCTACTGGTAGAGAAAAAAAAGTCTATCATGGCCTAGGCAGGTAACAAAACCTCTTTTTTTTTCCTTTTTTTTTTTTGTTGATAGAAAAAAAAGTCTATCATGGCCTAGGCATGTAACAAAACCTCTTCTTTTTTTGTTGGTAAAAAGAGGTACCATTAATTCAAGTGGGTTTGATTCAGGTTTGCCTTTCTGGTGAGCTAATGAATCGTTTAACTATAATGAAACAAATACTCCGACAACAAAAATCAATGAAATCAGATCGCTCTTATCAAGCCATGAATACCAATTGTGAAACGATGAAGTTTGCACCACAATATCACGGGTTGAGGATTTGCTTACCAGTAATCTCCACAAGAGCATAATCCATTTGTGAAATGGTGAAATCGTTTTGTATCTCTAATAATGATTGTACGCTTCTCAATCAATGATATGAGCTTTGCAAAGCCATGGCAATCACCACATATCCTAATGTTCTTTGTAATAATTAATGGCATACCAGCATTAGTCACCAAAAGTCCAAAGGCAATGGCTAACTTTTCACTGTGCTTATTGATCAAATCTTCTTTCACTTCCTCATCCACATCATGTAGAACATATTCTGTTTTTGACGCAAATCCAACTTCCCGATTCTTTCTAACGAGTTCTTCCAACTTGTTATATATTTGTTCTGTGTCAGGGTGAGATT